GCGGAGTAGCTGGTGCTTGCGGGTCCGATTAAGTGGTCGTAGTTTCTTCTTATACGCCTGCGACAACCGCAGTATCTCTGGTAGGGGCTGTCCCCCTCATTCACTTTCATCTCTTCAGGCCCTTCAGCTGCTTTACCTCGACCACTCAGCTCGTAACCGACCTTCTTGGCGTTGTTTTACCTTTACTTCCAAAGGCTAGGCTCCATTAGCGCAGCAAAAAAATCGATTTTGACAACATCGAGGTTTTTACTCTAATTGTTGATAAAGATCGATTATTATCGATTGAAATAGAATTTTCAGTGAAAGCTATTAGGCATGTGCTGCAAATCATAAAATTTGAAATCGGTACGATTTACAAAACCTAGTTTTGAAATATCTTAACAAAAAATAAAATAAAAAATTTACTCTAAGCCAATAGAAATGACGAAAATCATGTGGTAGAAATATATGTAGTTTCTAATTTCCATTAATTAAATATCTCATAGTCTGCTCGTAAAAATCATAGATTACACGTTGCTTCAAAAAAAACAAAAAAAAAAACAACATACACCAGAACAAAATTTAATGTGGGTTGTAGGTAGGATCGAGTATAATTTGAAAATAGGTTTCTTTTAGTTCCTGAACCCTCCATTTTCATTTTAATTTAAAACAACCGTTATGTTCGTACTTGATGCACTTACTGTAAGAACTTGACTATTTTTCATCTGATTTTAGAAATAAAACATGTTTTAAAAATGGAATTCACAAAGCTTTAAAACGATGTATAACAATTTGCTTTAGACTTAGCTTGTTGGGTGTTTTCATCGGATAAAACAAAAAAAAAACCCTATTTTTCTTAATTTGTTTAACTTTAACCATTACTTATTTGAAAAATTGCCAAAAGTACATTTATTTTCGAATAAATTGATACCTACATACAAATACAAATGGTCGAAGTTAAGCAATTTAAGTAAAACTACGGCCTTGAATTTATTTGTGTGTATGTACCGGACTTTCAGATTTTTTGACCTGCGTCTAAAGAATTCATCTATGCATGTAATGGCTCTTTAGCACAAAAATTTTTTTTATAAAAATTTTTCAAAATGGGTGCGGCACCACCCATCAAATTTGATATACACATTGTGCTTACCCTCCTTGAGCACGATCTTGATTTTTTTTAAATTACCCAATGTAATTTTAGTTTTACAAATAGCGAAGGAAAGCGCAAAAATTAAACAAATCGATATATCGATATCAGAATCGATTTGTTTGCACCTCTACGCTGCATGCTGAGCTGTGTGTTTACACGCTAAAAAATTTTACTGAGCACATTGATTACTTTTAGCTATCATATCCAAGCACGCGTGATTTTGCGTTTCTTCATTCCACGAAATATTCAGTTAAATTAACATAAATAGCGTATAAACAAAATTTTAACTAATGAATAATATTGGCCGAAAAAATAATCAACATTTGCCATTTCGCTTTCTTTCTTTTTATCTCGCATCGCTACTCTACTATCCGCGTACAAATTGAAATTACAAATAGTATCTGCAAACGCCATTAAACTGCAATTGTCCGAGATTGTATACTACTCGTATGTATATTCGATTGTTCCGTTAGTTATCTAATATGCTCGATATTTGTTTATTTTTTTTTTCTCTCAAAATCGTTTCATTGGGTGTCGTTCATCTGAATGTGGCAGCATTTAGCGGCGCACTACACAAGTGGATACACATCATTAGTTTCTCACGTGAATGACGTTAAAAATTTTTGTTTCACATCCAAGCATCACAGCGAGGTCTACAAAATTTTGAGCATCTTTTTTGTTTCCACGGAAATTCACGTTTTTACACTTCAATGTGTTATTTAAGTGAATCAAGTAGAATTTTGTAATACTTGCGAAAATTACCATACCATATGCGTATATGTATGTGCGTTTATCTGCAATGTTAAACATCATTAAGTGCATAAAAATGTACGTAAGAGGCAATCAACACTCGATCAACCGCCGAAGGTCAATTGCCCAAGGACTAAGTGTGATTTGTAAAATTTGTTTGAGTTATATTTACACAGATTTGTGAAGTAGCGGTAAAACAAATTATGCAACCTTAATATTATTTGAGCTCATTACTTTTTCGTTTACCTAAGATTTTTTGAATGTCTCACTTCTTGATGTGACCTTATAAATAGGTGCAATGAATCTTCAATTGACTTGAGTACATCAGAACGCCTTTCGACTGTTTAATTTTTACTTTATTTTTTCTCCTTGTTTGGCGTAATAACCGCAAACGAACCCAATAGAGCACACATCTGCGGTTTTTCTTCTGTGCCAACTGACACCAATTGCAGTCTTTCAGTCGCCGCAGAGGCATTCCTCTTCCTCTGCTAGCACCAGCGCATTCTAATTTAAATTTTAGATTTAGTTCGCTGCACTATGCCATGGCTTGCAGACCAATTCCGGGCATGTAGCGGTCTTCAAGGTAATTAATAAAGGGCGGCCTGTTGGAATCAAGGCCGACTTAGATGTCGAAACTAATTACAAATTTTAGTCTTAAGATTCCCATACATTTTTCAACTATGGAATATTGATAAAGTGGTGTACTGTCAGTAAAAGATGCTATGTCCATCTATACCCATCGCTCTAAGATGCAAAAAGGTGTTGGCATACTCCAAGAACCTGCAGATAGGGGAATCATATCGCCTTCCTGCTTTGAGGCGGGATCTTGCGGTCATTTAGAGGGCGGCTTGTCCCATACGGAATAGAAAGAGTCTATCAAGGAACGTTAGTATATTCATTGACAGCCAGACGGCATTGAAAACGTTAGCTCCCTAGGTAGTAAAGTCGAATTTAGTTCGAAAATGTCGTGCGTTGTTGTTGTTGTTGTTGTTGTAGCGGCTACAACAACCCCGCCCAGGACGGTTGGTATCTCAGTCGTTGTCGTCAAGTTCCACTAACGGCAACCCTAGGAAGCGTGCAGCTTCTGTGGGGTTTGTCCACAGGGACAAGGCCGTTAGGGTTGTCGGGTTTTCCGGGCATGCGAAGAGATGTTTTGAGTCATGTGGGGTCTCTCCGCATGCCGGACACTCATTCGGCACATCCTCATTCGACCTACTCAGGTAGGAGTTCAACCTCCTGCAGTAGTCGAAGCGAAGTTGTGCAAGTGTTGTGCGAGTCTCCCGAATGTCGGGTTTTACCTGACCAAGGGCTGTTGTTTCGGCGATCAAACCCCGTTTAGTTCGGCGAAGTATCTCAGAAGATGTCGTGCGTCGTCGTTGGCTTTACTGAGTCACCTGAAAACCTCTCCTGCTAACTTGCTGGACATAGCTATATCGAAGGGAATGAAATAGCCGACGAAATGCGGAAGCGTAGAGCTTCCTACTAATTCTGGTTCTGATCTCAATAAGAGTTCTACAGAAGAATTATTGACGCTAAAGGTATCTCAAACATTTGCGACTACGATGTTTGAAAAGTTTGGCGAGATAGCGGAATCAAAAATATCGGAGCTCCACAGTTTCATCTAGGATAGTAAATGGTTTAAAAGACAGCATACTGACAATAGGGAATAACTTCGGTTAGAAGGGTGTACATCATCCTGGCACTCCTAGAGGGCATTCGCTATGTGCAAGTCTACCTCCAATAAAAAGAAATTCATATTAGAATATTCCGCATTGTATTAAAAAGGTGCAAATTTATAAAATCCTACGAAAATTTCAGTTTCGTAAGCTAAGTGGCAATGTAAATTCAACTCTTTCATACCATAGGGAAATAAACAATATTTTCAAAGAGACTGAGATTATTTGAAAGATGAATCAAAGAGAAAGGTCTGGAATGAAATCCAGGCAAAAGTCACCTGGTGCTTTTCAGTAGGAAGTACAAGATCATAATGCTGGACAAAAGGATAAGCTAAGTGGTTGTTTAGCAGTAGACTCTGTCTGCCAACCAGAAGGGGTACGAACCTGCGAGAGGGCACATTCGTTCCACTTTCGCAGTCGTGGAAGAGTTTAGACATGCCGCTGCTGTTGTTGTTGTTGTTGTTGTAGCGGCTACTAAGCCCCGTTCGGGACGGTTCATCCATCATCGTTGTCGTCTATTTCAGCTAAGGGGAGGCCCAGGAAGTGTGCGACTTCCACAGGGCTGTCCATAGCGACAGGGCGTTAGCTGAGTGGGATTCTCAGGGCATGTGAAGAGGTCATGTGGCGACTCTCCACATGCCGGGCATTGGTTGGGCACATCCTCGTTGATTCTGCTCAGGTAGCTGTTGAGCCTGCTGCAATAGCCAGAGCGAAGTTGGGCTATTGTTGTGCGCTCGCTAGCTGCAGCTCAATTCAAGGGGTATATCTGTTAAACAAGCAAGTTATAGGTGTGCAAGTCTCATGACCTGGAGCAAGGCAAAACTGAAGTGGCCAGAAAGGCACGAGAAACAGTCGAAGGGTCTCCTTATGCTGGTCAGAAGGCGCTTATCTACAGCCATGGGTCTGCTAACATGCCATATTGGACGACTTCTGTAGGATCTGCAAAAATGAAGAAGATCCCGAAACCTTTGCGACACCCGTTATGCGAATTTGCCGTGCTCTGTAGAAGAAGAAAGAAATTGGTGGGTTCAGATTTTCCGAGGGTTCAACCGCCATAGCTAAAGTAGGATAAATATAGTAGTATATTAGCAGTAAGATAATTATTTATTAGGTACCGGAGATGGTTTGTGTTTGAGGAGGGTTTTCCCATTCCGTGTGTTATCACAACGGGCACAAAAATACCGAATAGTTGACCACTGGCAGCCACAGCAGCAGCACTGAACGATATCCTATACATTCTACAAGAAAAAAATTAAGATAAGAGTATTTATTTTTTTTAAATACTCGAATTCATAGTTTAAAACATTTTACCAACTACATACGTCATATCCAAATAACAAAGCGATTTCGGTGCCATCTACAACTGAAATCCCACTTCTTATCTCATCTGCGATCATCTCCATAATCCATTGAGAGAAAGGCATTGAAATGCAATGAGAAACGAGATCAGTAGAACAGCAACACTTGGGAGGTGATGAATAACTGCGCTGAGTGATATTTTTGTGGCTTCAACACAATTCAAACAAAACCAGTGCATGAACCCCGCAACCATTTTAGTAATACTTTATAAAATATACTATTCTGCACGAAATGCATTTAACTAAATAGAGTAAATAAAAATTTTGTGTGCCATGTCTCACCCGACGATACGCTACAACGAGGAGCGCAGAGAGGTGAGTGAGAGCAGCGATTAAATAGTGCATGCAGAGATAAAATAAAACAATTAACTCTAGTATTGGCATTTATCAACATTAGCATAGAAAAAAACAAGAAATACTTATAAACAAATACTCGCCTCTCCACAGTTGCTTCTAGCCCATTGCCACTATGTGGTACTACCACCGGAGCTAATCGATGTATTTGGTGAATGCACCGAATACTTAGATTGCAGTCACAATCGGCTAATGAACTTATCATATTTGTATGAATTTACAAATTTAAAATATCTTATTCTCGACAATAACCGCTTGCATGAGGCGCATTTCAATCAATTGCAATGGTCGCTACCGAAGGTGAAGCTGCTGATGTTAAACCGCAATGAGGTGTGATGATGCTATAACTTTTGCTTATGCTTACTTTTATAATCTTCATCTAATCACTATTAATTCTTTTGAAGCTTATGGATCTTGAGAAGACAATTACGCTGCTAGCAAGCATTTTTCCCAATCTTGAATATTTAAGTTTGCATGGAAATCCAATTTGCCCCGATGAATTGGAGCTGCAGCCGTTTTGTGAATACGTGAATTATGAATATGAATATTACAGGTAGTTATTATTTTGTGCACTAAAATTTTATTCACAATTTTAGTATTTTTTTTTTTATGTACTTTTTACAGATCGCAGATCGCTGGCGCTTTTAACAAACTTAAATTTCTCGATCATTATGATCTGCAACGACCTTATCGCAGATCAACGCTCAAGCCAAATGCAAATAATGAACACCAAAAATCATTAAAATTTTTTATTTGGCCTAAATTTCGGCACAGTTTGAGTAAAAGGAACTTGCCACCCAAAAAATCAAATCCACAAAAGCAACAATAAAGCAGCTTTTATTTTGGTAACAGCATTCTTTACAATTTATTGTTCTTTTCTATCTGTCTTACAACAACTTTTTTAAGGTAAACTTACATCCCGAGCTAATAAAAGGAAGGTAATAAAAAAGTGCTTATTGTCTCGAGGTTCCAGAACATGGCCAAGGTTAAGAACTGACCTGAATTGATTCTTTCAGTATAAACAAAAAAAACAACTATTAAAAAAGTACCTCCAAGTGACGCAAAACATCTATATTTTAATCGCAAAGGATTTTATAGCATAAACGTATTGATTGTATGTATGGTTAATATACCTACAGTGACTCAAACAAGTCACCATGTGTAGATTGTTTTTAATATTCGAAATTTTTTTCGAGTTACATTTTTTGGTTATTTTTCTATAAAAATACCACCCAAACTTTAACCAAAACCAAATAATTATATACATATATATATCACAGTTTCCATGATGCAGAAAAGAATGGTGGCGTATTCCACTACCAACTGCCTCTGACGTCGATTTGACATCATCCACCCATTCGCAGACGCCGTACAATACTTTTTCGCAACAGGGATGAGAAGAGAGTTTTTTGCTCATCCGAAGCTCAATTGAACCCTTCGCTGGCAGGGGTTTTTATGCAGCGGGGGTCAAAGCCAGCGCACAACCTATTGCTTGGGTTTGCCTTCTCGTGATTCTTCATGATTCAACTTTCACAGGCGATTAGTTGGAACAAAAGTTGAACGAAAGTAGGCAGCCTACCAATTTCGTTGAAAGCGATTAGTTGAAAAGTTGCCTGCAAAACGCCTCATGTAAATTCCCTTTTAGTATAAAGACACTGGAAGTCGTGGGCTACTTAAGCCGGATGCAAAAGAGCCGTTTTTAGCCATCGCTGGTGAATGGCGATCAAAAACTTTCGCTGCACGCGTGAACTTCTGCAACCGGAACCACGAATGTATTTACTATACATACATCTATTCATAATATATGTTACCAACACCCATATTGTTTAGATATTATGGCTATAGATGAATTTATTTTATTTGAATCACACTGTGTTGCTCCAAAAAAGCTCCAAGCGCTGGTACCCAAGACACTCACGAACAACCAAATGGCATTAAGTTTAAGCATGTGGAACGAGCTTTTACATACATATTGTAACCTTAAATATTAGTTCTTCCATAGGTATGGGTATGTATGTAGATACAGATCCAAATACATAAATATGTATGCGCACATAACAAAACAGAAGCTATGTACATATACGAGTATACATACATACATAGTATATAATAAAAATTACACGTTCGTCAGAAAATGCGAAAAACCATTTCTTGGCACATGCTACTCATATGGGCAAGGAAGACTTTACCTTAGGTTTTTTCAAAAAATTATAAAAAAAACTTGCCCCAGCTTTTGCTGAAAGGTAAATAAAAGCTCTGTGTACGTTTTTAGGGCATAATTTCAAAACTGACAAATTTTGAGTTGTGTCACTTTTGAACATCGTGTGCGATATTAGCTTGCTTACTAACAAAAAAACTACAGTTTTTGCAAAGAGGCTTGACTTATCAGCTGCTATATGAATAGCACTATTTATATACATACATAAGTATGTATGTATGTATGTTAAAATTCGAGAAAAAATTATTAAAGAGAGTAAATAGCAACGCCGGCTAGCCGGCATATCTCCCAACCAGTGTTGCCACTATGTTTTCGTAAATTAAGCGAGATGTCTTGAATTTGCGGGTTTTTTAGCTACACAAATTTGCAGTAAAAAATAAAAAACCAAAAAATTACAATGCTGGTGAACCGTTCATACCAAACTTTAATGTTGTACTAATTCGCTCAAAAAATATATTTCAATTTGCATACAGTCACCCTTTTTTTACCACATGTGAGTGTCACACTTGGCAAATTGCCTATCAGCAATTTTTTCTTCAAGATAGACAGTTTTTCTTCCAAGATCTTTAATAAAGTATGAAAAAAAAACAAAGAAAACTCATACGTATGAGCAAATTGACAGCAATTTTTGAACGTAGAAACTCAAAGTAACCCAGCCAGCAGAGAAACGCAAATTTTGCCGACGGTGTGGTCTCGCGCAATTTTCTGTATCCGGAATCGAGCAGGAAACTTCTGCAATTTTGGTTCATTCACGTATCCAAAAAAATTCAAATAACGATGCGGCTTTCGTATCCAGAAACGAACAGAAAACTCCTACACTTTTCATCCATTTTCATATCCGGAAAGCGTTCGAAAATAATGATGTTTTATGAAAGCAATAATTGTATTTAATTGTTCAAGCTGAACTTTTGAAAGCACCCAATAAACATTGTGGCGAATGTTCGAAAGAGACCTTCGATATCCGATATGAATATCGAACTGAGAACGAACTCATAACAAACCTCAGTTTTCCAACGTTCGGAGTAAATATGAAATACACTCGAAATGGGTTCGAAAAAAAATTAAGACCATAGTAGCAAGAAAGTGAAATCCAGCTCATTCTCGAAGGGAAATATAAGACAATCACTCTCCCATAATGAAATTTCCAATTCGATAATGGGTTGGATTTCAAATTCATAACGGAGGGAAAATACATTGATTTTGCTGGAGAATCGAATACTACCCTATTGCACATTCGTTATAGAAGGTGAGACTCGACAAAAAGATTGGTTTTCCAATCATTTTTAAATTATTAACCAATCCCAATATTTATTGGGCATATATACGTCGACAGTGGCTGAGACTGTGTGTTCGTTAGCTTTCAAAAGGTGCCGAGCTCGATGCCGTCAGGCGCTTCATTATTTTTTTTTACATACCTATGCTCCTCTAGCATACTTTAGTGGTCAAAGTATCCAAGAATGAATTCGGTAAACGGTCAAAAATCAGCATTTCATCCGCTTTTTTCCTTTTTTTGCTGGCTGGGAAGCGAAAAAGTTTTAGTGCTCAATTTGGTTCCATTTACAAAACATTTTTGCCTTCCAAAAGCTTCACCGAACCAACCAAACTACCAAATAGAAATTGAAGCTACCAATTTGGGTCCAATTGGACCAAAACGGCAACGCTGCTCCCAACAGCAAGCACAGCGAATTCGCAATTTTCGCAGCGGCAGACGAAATTATAAAAGGCATCGAACGTTAAATGAGAGGACTCAGTTGCTCCAGAAGCGCGACGAATATTATTGCAATTTATTTTTAGTCCATCAGCTGTTGACAAAGTGAAGTGTTTACTAAAAANCAATCATTTTTAAATTATTAACCAATCCCAATATTTATTGGGCATATATACGTCGACAGTGGCTGAGACTGTGTGTTCGTTAGCTTTCAAAAGGTGCCGAGCTCGATGCCGTCAGGCGCTTCATTATTTTTTTTTACCGTGAAAAAGCTTATGTTTCAAAACAATTTTCGGCACTTGTCTGTACATACTTATGCTCCTCTAGCATACTTTAGTGGTCAAAGTATCCAAGAATGGATTCGGTAAACGGTCAAAAATCAGCATTTCATCCGCTTTTTTCCTTTTTTTGCTGGCTGGGAAGCGAAAAAGTTTTAGTGCTCAATTTGGTTCCATTTACAAAACATTTTTGCCTTCCAAAAGCTTCACCGAACCAACCAAACTACCAAATAGAAATTGAAGCTACCAATTTGGGTCCAATTGGACCAAAACGGCAACGCTGCTCCCAACAGCAAGCAAAGCGAATTCGCAATTTTCGCAGCGGCAGACGAAATTATAAAAGGCATCGAACGTTAAATGAGAGGACTCAGTTGTTCCAGAAGCGCGACGAATATTATTGCAATTTATTTTTAGTCCATCAGCTGTTGACAAAGTGAAGTGTTTACTAAAAGTAGCAGATTAAAAATTTTATATTTTGTATTTACAATAATTTCAACAGCAAATACTGCATCAGTATGGCGAATCCAAATCAAGCTCCCAAATATACTCAAGTAAGTGTCGTGCATATGTACTAGGGATGTTGCGAATGTGGAATTTTAGACATCCGCGGATGCGAATGCAATTATAAAATGTTTGCATATATACGAGGTTTGGTATTTTCTTGATACGCGATTTTGTACTTTAAACGACGATATGTACATCATAAATACATACTGTGACGAGCAAAACCATAACATGGTTTAACACTTTTTGTTTCAGCCACCGCTATATTTCCAAGTTCTAACGACTTTCATCCTTTTGTTGTATATTCTTGTTGGTACATCCCTNGTTGGAAGTCAGATGACTTTTTTCTATATTGTAATTTATTGAAGAAGTGATCACCAGTAAATAACATAGTTAATCAGGAACCATAAATGTAAATAATAGATTTACTGCGGAAAGGCGGAACCGCACGAAAAGTGGCAAAAAATTTTGAAATTTGCTACTTGAAAATGTTAAGACCTAGAAAAAATATAGCCTAAAGTGTTCCCAAGGACGAAGGAAGTCTGTTA